GGAGACCCAGGAGTTGGACCCGATGTTCTTCGTGGGTCTATTCCAACTTGGGATATTCTATGGTTCTATGAAAAGAGGTAATTCTAAATGGAACAGGAAAAAAGTCACCTTTCACATTTTGGCCAATATTGTTTCTGCCATTTCTGAACAGAATTTTTGCCATTGTCTCCATTGTTCTGGTTTAGCTTTCATCCCCGCATACCTATTTAATTACCAGCTTTCATTTTATTTACAACACTAATTATTTACTGATTTTCAGGCTCTATAAGTCTATTCCCTCAGTGTAAAATTCACAATTTTCTCAGTACTTAGAAGACTGGAGTGTACGACATGGAAGGAGAGTTGGTTTTGGTAGGCCTGTAGAAGAGATGACTAAGGGGGAATTAAATGATGCCTTCAGCTAACTAAAGAAGAGTTATAAAGAAAACAGAGCCAGACGCTTATCAAATGTGTGCAGCAGAAGGACAGGAGGTAATGGCTGCAAGCTGCATCACAGGAAATTCCAGTGCGATATAAAGATAACATCCTTCACAATGAGTGCGGCCAAGCACTGAAATCCAAAACCAGGGATCCCAAAAAATCTCCATTCTTGGAGATTTTCAAAGCCTGATAGGGCAAGGCTGAGCAACCTGGTCAAACTTCATAATTAGACCTGCTTTGAGCAGGGAATGGGAATAGATGGGGTCAGCTAACCTAACTCACGCTGTAAAGCTAAATGTGAAGGTTCTGCATGGTACCGCTCTGGTTTAGATCCAAACCACACATGGAATGATTAAGTAACAACCACATGGTTCCCAAAAAGTCCCAGTCAGGCTAGGGATCACACTGGGAATCAGGTCTGCATGAAACTTCATAGAAATCTAGACGGCCTCTTTCATGCCCTTCTTCAGACTTCCAGGTTGAGCTTGCCTAATGTCTAAGAGGAAATTTTCTAAAGCAAACACTTCTTCTCATTGTCTGTGTAAGACATTTGAATAGGTTGAGTCCAATAAAAAGAGTAAACATGAATAATTTACTCTGAGTATTCACAGTCCTTAACTATTAGTTTGTGTTGGACTACTGGGTTTGTGTTGGACCACTCCAATCAAATTTCCAATGACAAAAAATTGCTGTAGGTTGCAGCCAGCTCCAGGTTGCCCCACTTCAGCAGTCGTGTTGGACCAGATGACCTCCACAAGTTTCATTTGCTCTGCCCTACAGTTTTCATGATCTAAACGTCTTCACAGAACCTTATGGTGCACAGCAACACACCCCTCAATTTCATTCTATAAAAAATCGGTCTGGCAAGCTGCAACACAGCCTTTGCATTGTTTTTAGAGTTTGACTTTAAAAAATATAATTAAAAAAAAATTAGAAGTTATACCTTAGCATCACATTGTACCCTAATGAAACAGAAGCATGCCCTAGTCAGTGTGGCCACAGCCCACCAGCTATAGGAGAGTCTTGAGCAGTGTGGGTGCAAGTCAGCTCATGCCACCCTAAGGCCAGGAGCTGAAACTATCCCTGGGATTATTTTATTGAGCACTGTAGATATAGCCTTTAGAGTGATCTTTCAGGAAGTCAAGCTCCAGGGAATTTTAAATGAGGCTGAGTTTTTTAGTAAGGCCTCTCCATAAGAATATTTTCAATCTGAAGTAGATTTTAGGATCAGCTAGATTTTTTTTTCCCCTATTTGATTTTCTAAAAAGTCTAATTGGTATGTAAATTCTCACATTAAGAACAACTAAGAATGCCAAATCAAGTACCCAAAAGTTAGGAAATGCCAGACTTAGCATTGACAGTGCAGATTGAATCCACATATGCTCCATGTATTATTCATAGTTTCATGGCTGTTTTTTCTCCTCCCAAGGGCCTATGCAGCTTTCACCTACTAGAAAAGGGACTGAAAACCCATGATATCCTAGCGCAAGGAAGGGTTTTCAAGAGTACAGCAGCCCAGAACAGGTCTCCTCTGTGGCAGTCCTTCCTCACAGCCAAGGATGTTCAGGATTCACAGCACCCTGACCCAGACCTGGCCTTCCTATGGGAGCCCCAGCTGTGCTACATCAAAAGCTCCCTGAAACAGAGACATTTCCCTTAGTGACTGTCATTTCCTTGAACAGGAGCTTTCTGATAACATATTTTGGGATATTCCCAATGACCTCTAGGTCAGAACTGCAGAAACTAGCCCATGCCTATAACATAGTTATATGGGGTAGAACCTAGAGGAACAACTAAAAGAGCTTGAAGAGGTCTACAACACACTGATGTCCCTGCCTCCTGTTCCTAGCTGCCTCAGGTACTGACAGCATAGGAGACTCCAAACTGTAGACTGTAGTGTGAAAGGTTAATTGCATAAATGAGCCTGCACACTTTGCTTCTGTAATTGCATTGCTAAAAAATGAACCAGGCAGTTTCAAGCCAACTTGGTTCCATCTGTATAAACAGCAACCACCTCTTGATTGAAAGGCTGTATTAGGAAAACTGTCTTGCCTATGAAATGAAGCTGTGAAAACTCTCCAAAGATAAATGTTAGAAGACCTATTACGTGGGATATTTAATGTACACTTCACAAAATACAGAAAACAATTTTGTATTACCACAGATATGAGTTAATAGGCCTATAATTCTGTGTTTGCATTTTGTTAATTCAAACTTTTTTATTCCCAGCTGGGTAGCAAGTCTTTGCATATTTATTTTTCTCAGCGCTTGAGGCTGATAGAAATTTGAATGCGAACAGGCTGCCAAAGTGTTCTTCACCTCCCAAGACACTCATGAGCTCCATCAGTCATAACGACAATTTAGCTTTGATGGCTAAGCACTATTTATGTCAAAAGTTTAATGAGAACAGACTTGCCCTTCATACAGGGAATTAAGATCATGATTTTTATGAGAATGTTTCTACATTTGCATGATATGGTTATACTGCAAGAATGTGAGCAATAATAAAAAAAATAATGTAAAATGAATAAATACTTTGAAGACAGTATTCCTTAGCAGTGAATTTTGATTTGGGATTCTGTGTCAGCTCAACAAGCTGAACATATCAATAGGAAAAATAAATAAGGTGAACTTACAAGGTAAAAGCAAAGCATGGATTACTCATCTTTTAACCTGAAATGTCCTCTACCTCTCCCCTTAAGTGGGAAAGAAATATTTCCTGAGGCTTTGCAGTAGAAAAACTTAAATTGTCCCAAGACTTGCTGAAATCATTCACTACTGTGAGAAGAGGAGGTCACTGAGTTAGCCCAGGACAGCCAACCACAGCCCAAATGAACAAGTCCTCAGGGCACTATTTTCTTTTTTTTCACCCTATACCTTCCTTCAACAGACCCTCCCTCCAAACGAAATCCTGTGTTTGGTCTCTCTCCCAAACCTAAACCTATATGCTGATTGAGACGTAGCCTAAAATACCCCAGCTATGGCCCAGATCAATACATCCTCAGGGGAGAATTCTGTTTCTATGTCCCTCTTCCCTCTAACAGCCCTTTTCCTGTCCCAATCCATGCCTTCTTCCTTTACAAATAATTCTCTTACCCTAAAACTGTGCTACAGCTGAAGCTTAGCACACCACCCCTAAGCTTTGCCTGTTGGAGCACAGTCTCAGGCACTATATTTTCTGCCACCCAATCCTTACCTTCACCTGCCCTTTTTGAAATGTATTCCAGCTGGAGCTCTAGGCTTTGTCTCTCTACCAATCCTAACCCTAACCTAAACCTTAACCTCATTTAGTTGAGTGAGATTTAGCCCAAAATATCCTAGCCTTAGCCCAGATAAATCTGTCTGCATGCCAACTGAGGCTCAGCATAAGATCTCAGCCACAGCCCAGGTAAAAAAGATCTCAGAGGAGAAGCCTTTTGACAACCCACTCTTCCCCTTGGCAGCCCCTTTGCCAGAGAACTACAGCTGGAAATCCCACTCCTTGTATTTCTTCTAACCCTTAATCCAAACCTAGGTGTCAGCTGAGCCCTAGCCTGACATACCCAGATATAGCCCAGGTGAACATCTCTTCAGCAAACAATTCTTTCAACCCCTGCTGTCCTTCAGCGGTCCCTTTCCAATCCCTAAACAAACAGATCTTTAGACTTTCTTCCTTCTCTGAAACCAAAACATAACCAAGTCCCTAAGCACAGTTGTGGACTGAGATTTAGCCTAAGGCCCCTAACCACCACCCACATGAGAAACTTCTCAGAGTAATTCTTTCTGCAGCCCCTTTCCTTCCCTAGTGCAAAAAGAGATACAAACTTTGTCTGTCCCTGTCCCTAAGCCTAATTTTAGCCTGAACTCTGAAAACCCATGACCACGTTCTCAGAAGAGGAATTCTTCAGCAATCCTTTTTCAAGTTGACTCCAGGTGGAGCTCTAGACTCTGCCCCATTAAAACTCCAGCTTAGTCTGAATGCAAAGCATGGGTTGAGCCTTAGCTCCAAATTGTGTTAATGGCATACTGTGATCACCCTAAAGTAATTTGGGGACATGATGTATGTGAGATAATACAGCAGCCAAATCTTGTCCAAGATTTGTCAATTTCCTGACATGAAATAAAACCTTACATTTGTTTTGTTGGGATTCTTTCTATCTTCTCTCTTTAAATGCTGAGAGGCTTAATTTGCTTCTGCTATATCCACCTGGCTTCTAGCCTAAAGAATATCCAGAACTGCAAGGACATACGGCTTCCATGCTCATTTATGATAATCATAAAATTTCAGTTGAATTAATATTTTTGAAGCATTCATTCTTCTTTTTCTACATATCATATCAAAGAATAGGTGCTGAGATTTAAATATTTTTGGGCAGCTTCTGTATATTCCTTCATAAAACTCTTCTGACAGCTCAAATTTTGTTGAAATAATTTTCTGTTTAGGCTTAGAGCTGTGGAAAGGTATTATACAGGGTATGCTTAATAATGGTTGTAAAATAAGGAAGGAAGAAGAAAATGAGGAAGAGAGATTACAAAAAAAAAAAGTTTTATCTTTATTCTTTCTGGCTCTGTAATTGTATTCTCTTTTGTAATGAGAATAATCAACCTTCTGCTCTGATTCTTTGGAGAATGATATAAGAAACATTTTATATTCCTCACTGCCAGAAAGTGTCCTTAGGATACCTTTGGTCAGATCCATTAAGAGACTTGAAGATTAACATTAAACTGCTGTTTGTATCGAAATTAGTATGAAATAGATTGCTTGCTTTATTTGATGTTTATAGTCTCAGTAGTATGTTCCTGCCATTTTTAATGTTACCAAAACACAATCTTCCTGCTAAATATTTCAGTGACAAATTTTATGTCTCCTTATTGCTATATCACATTAGCTCAGAATAAAAAAATAAATTTCAGATTCATTTGTTTCACCATCCCAAGCAAACTGAAAGAGGCTATGTTCAAGGCAGATCTGCTACCTTTTTTACACAAATCTGTTTCCTACGACTGCGCTGCTATTCACGGTGGTGCCACTCGGTGGTGCCACGGGGCCACAAAAACTTCATCTGATCTTAAATTCAACCGCTTATATTTTGCAACAGAGAGTCATCAAGTTCTTGCAGTGTTTTCTTGCCTATGCAAATTTAGAATTAACAAAATCTATGTTTTGTTTATTTGTTTTTTAAATAAATAAAATAAATAAATCGTAGCCAAACAATGCTGTAAAATTTGCACGTGCTTTTCAGATAACGTATTTTGTACCAAAACTACATGATCACTGTTCTGCCACCCCTATCTGTGTAAGGCAGTATCTAAAGTAAGCAACTACTTACAGAATAAGAATTTATTTGGCATGTTAGGGGGGCTCAGTTGTGCAACTGCCTGCACCATGATAGCTAACACTTCCCAATACATGTGTATAGTCTATGCTAAAGCATAAAAGCACAGAAGACAAAGTATTAGGGCTTTTAATTAAGTTTACCTTCTAAAAATATACAACCATCTATTAGTAAAGTGTTCTGCCATAGAAAGTTGCTACAACTACTTTCAGCAATACCTTTCATTCCAACTTAATTAGACAAGTAGCACTTGACTGCCTGTTTAAAGGTGGCATAATAATAATAAAAAAATCTCAAGGGCTCTTTTGAAATACTTTACAAAGAACTCTATGAACTTTTTAAACATAAATACTTGTGCGTGAAAAATATACTGACATTACAAAATATGGCAAAGTTACCAGTATACAAAAACAGTGTAAGCTATCACTGTGCTATTTAAACAAATGCTATTTTACTACATTTCAGATTTCAAGAATCCCATGCAGGCTTCTTTCTGCCAGACTATGAGAGATGAACACCCCTTGGAAGTAATGTTGCAAACTGAGAGAGTGGGACATGCCGTTAGCTTCCAGCAATGTCCCAATGCAGAAGACTAAAGCTGCAGTCACTGTAAAGCTTCTCGACCGTGTCAGCTCCAGGGGTCCGACATCTAAAATTCCACAGGAACCCTCGATGCTCTGAGACCAAGTTTCTGAAAAATAAAAATAAAATCAGGACATGCATTCGGGATCAAATTTTTGAGAGCTCATTTTTCAAGTGCATGGATAAATTAAGTTTTGGAGTTCCAGTGGTATTTTACATAAAGCTCACTAATTCATTCCACATATTAAGCCAGCTGTGGGAGTTGAGATCTTAGGAAATAAGGCACTTGGAAAGCATCTACGTTGTTACGCTACCTTGGCTAGTATATTTCGAAATTGCACGGATTTTTCACTGTCATGTTTAAAAACCTTCTCTGTGAAAGAGAAGGCCTCTGGAGGTCCACAACGCGGGCCTCTGAAGCGGGACGGGAGGCAGCATCTCCCTGCCCGCCCCAGGAACCTGTAGGTTGCCTCATGGCAGCTTTGGCTGCTCCTTGTACCCGTCACGCAGGTACGTGCCGGTTCGCATGTTCTGCGTGGGGTGTGCGAGGCTCAGGACCAGAGGTGCTCGCGCTGGGGCGGCGTTGCACAATCACCAAGGCCCTGGGGCTTTACGTGGTTTGGGGAGGCTTCTTCAGGAAGGCTTCGCCCTACAAAAGCACAAAACCCCCGCTGACATCTGCAGGCCGAGAAGAAGCGGGGATGGCTGTGGTGTTGCTAATGAGCGGAGACAACCCATTAATTACCACACACACTCCTCTTCAGGGGGACTAAAGCAGCATGAAGGTGCTTTAACACCGGTGGAAAGGCTGCTGACGGAGGGCTCGCTGCCTTTCTCCCTGCCTCCCTCCCTCAGCACCACGACCCCCGAGCCCCTCGGAGCCCCCTCGGAGCCCCCTGGGCGCCTCCCCCCCGCCGCCACCGGGCGGCGCCCGGCCCCGCTCGGCGGCTGCCACGTCGAGGCCGCCTCCCCGTGCTGAGGAGGAGGAGGAGGAAGGAGAAAGAAGAGAAGAGGAGGAGGAGGAGGAGGAGGAGGGGCGGAGATGGCGGCGGGGCGCTGACGTTGCGGGGAGGAGGAGGAGGAAGGAGGAGGAAGAGGAGGAGACCCGGCTGCCTCCGGGGCAGAGGCTGCCGCGTCCCGCGGAGGCTCCGCGTCCCCCTTTTCCTCCTTCTTTCCTTCCTTCCCTCCCCACTCCTCGCCCCTCAGCGGGCAGGCGGCGGCCGCGATGCGCTCGGCGTGAGCGCCCGCCTCGGCTCCGTGTCACCCCCCCCCCCTCCCTCCTTCCCCTCCCTCCCTCCACGTCTCCGTGCCCGTGAGGGGCGGCGATGGCCGCGGGCAGCTGGCAGCAGGCGGCGGCCCAGCAGGCCGAGGAGACGGCGGCCCGGGTGCGGGAGGCGCTGGCGGGAGGCCTGGGCTTGCTGCGAGCCGAGCTGGGCCTGGAGCTGGGCCTGGACCCGCACGGCCTCCCCACCTGGCTGGCCCTAGGGCTGCCGGCCGCGCTGGGGCTGGGGCTGCTGGGGCTGCTGCTGGCCCTGGTGTGCGGCAGCGGCCTCCGCAGGAAGGCAGCGGGCGGCCGGGCTGAGAGGAAAGGCGACGAGGCGGCGGCCCTGACAGGCAGCGGTGGTGGCAGTGGTGGTGGTAGTGGTGGTGCTGGGGGGCCGGGCAAGGCGGCGGGGCAGCTGGGGCTGAAAGGAGACGAGCAGAAGAAGAGGAGCAAGAAGAAGCTGCCCGAGAAAGCGGCGAGGGTGAGAGGGGGAGCCGGGGAGTTGGGGAGGGTGAGGGCTGAGGGGGGGGGGGTGCAGGCCGGGGGTGTCTGCTGGGATCCTCTCGGCTGCCAGAGGGGGGTTGGAACACCAAAGAAACAGCAGTTTAGGTGAAAATGAGGCTTTTTTTCCTCCTGGAGAAGGAAGAGAGGCTCCCTGCTTTCTCCCTGCTTCTTTTCATGAAGCTGTGGGTTATGTCTGCACACCGTACTGTTGCATTTTTACTCTCAATATTGTCTTTTTACTGCCAGTCAAAACCTTACCAGATCAGGAACTGGTAGCAGAGACCTTACCGTGGTTCAGCTTCTCAAGGCAGGAGTCTCAGCCCAGGCAGGTACAGGCGGTTCGAAGCCTCGTAAAGGCTGCGATGATTCAAACTTGAGTAAGGCTTGCTGCTGCGCCTTTTCGGCAGGACACGTTAACACCAGGCGTGTGGTGAATTTGCCTCCCTAGGAACACGCCTGGGTTGTTACAGTAAGGATCATCTCCTTTAATAAGGAAATCTGTCTCTCAGCAGCCCCTTCAAAACAGACCGTGGCTGTCTTTTGTTTTAATCCTCGGTCTGTGATGTAGGAATCGTGTGTCTTTGACAGTGTTTTCATGAGAAAATCAATCGAATGCAGAAATTATCAGCTGTCCTTTTCAAGCTTCCATTATCATAGTTTTGGGACTTGAAGGGATTGCTTCAATAGCTTTTATGTTGTTGGTATGTTTGTAATCCTATTTACGTCCAAATGGATTATAGGAATGAAAGTGCAGCAGATGTCCCCTGCCTTTTACAACTATGTCTTTTAATTATATAGTGCGAAATTTAATATGAATTGTTTGCCTAATGACCAGAAAAAGGAGGTACAGAAAGGGGTTGTACCTTCGTTTGGTTCTGTGGCAATACTGAGACTTGAGAAGTTTTGTTTAAGATATTTTAGCCTTCTCTCCATTAAAAAATACAAAAGTCTGTATATAGCACCAAACTGTCTTTGAGCAGTGAACTCCTGAAACTCAGTGGAGCTGATTCTGCAAGTTGCAGTAGGCTAATAACTAGGCACCAAGAAGAGGAAGCACTGTGATTCAGAATTTTTCAAATGTTGCTAGGTCTCCATTTTGAAGAAGACACGTTAAAGATGCAGTGTTTTGTTGCTGTCCAGAAAGGGACATCCTCCAAGGCCTAATAGATCTGTTATGCTTTCTAGAAAACAGGCTAATCCCAGAAATAATCCAGATTTTTTCATATTTTATTTAAACTCCAGGATAAAAACAAAACATAAACTCTTGCAAGTCATCTTTGGAGACACTGAAAAATGCCTGAACAGAAGAGAGAGTGAAGAAATAGATACATTATTGACAACGTTCTGCAGTGTAGGGCTTTATAAAAGCAAGCTTTGTGTTGTGTATAAACTTAACTAGCTGACATTTTCAGTGAATATAAATACTTGTATTGTTTCCAGCTTGGTTTACTCAGGCACAAAATAGCAGAAGTGAAGGCTATGGAAAAGCAAATAGTTTCATAGTCAAAAAAGAGTAAAAGAGTTTTTCAGCTGTCAAGATATCATTCTGTATTCTTAAGATTTGGAAAGTTATTTTCGTATTACTTTGTATCCATTATTTCAATGCAGAGATAAGATTAAAAAAAAAAAAACTTTACAGGAAAGAAAATGAAAAAACTGAATCATTAACTACAGTGCAAATAAGTTTGTATCAGCAGTGAAGTTAAATAGGCCTGCCTCGTGCTCGTTATCCAACATAAGTTCACAGGGACCTGTATTAGCACATTCCAAGATTTTCTGACTTGTTTCACCATGAAAAACATTTAAAATCACATTGGAAATTGAGAGAAGCAGCAAAAAGTCCTACCGAAGGCTGTGTAGTGGTTTCATCTTGTATTTTTGTACGCTCGTGCTAATAATGAGGTCTGTGAGGGAAAAAGAGTAAGCCTATTATCAGTAGATTTACCAGAGGGTTTGCTATGCCAGGGTCTAGATTTCCATTACAGGCATTACAGAAAGCTTAGAGCAACTGGTCTGGAGCATTAAAAAGCACACTGCAGATGTCTAATTAAAAGCCGTAGGGTTACTTTAATGTAGGGTTACTGAGCTCATTGTGGGGCGGGTGATGTACGCTCTCATCAGTCAGGATCAGAAATGTTCTCCACTGTACCAAGAGTATTATTGCTTTGTTTCTTGTCTTTGGGTTTATTTGGTTCCTTCGTAAGTACGGTACAATTTAACTGAGGTTTTTAGTACGATGTGGAGTTGAGTAGCAGGGAGTTGCCTGGATGCTGTAGTATCTGTGGTGTTCTGTTTATTGACTTGCTGTGGGTAGACTGAGATCAAATGAATGATTTAGCGTTCATGAGCACTAAGTTCAGAGAGCCAGTCCTGGCTTCCTCCAGCAGCTTGGAGCAAGGTAGCGTCATGGTAGCCTCACTTCAGATTCTCTCTGTAGATGTGCAGTAAACCTCAAGCCCTCTTTCCTTAGCTCCTGGCAGGGGAGAGAGCGCTTTGTCTTCCATCTCAGAGCTCTTTAGCCCCTATTAAGATTTTTTTCCTTTCCAAAAATCTCTTGATCTTTGATTTTAGTTCCTTTCCCTTATGAATAATTCCTGCGCCTCTCTTCTGCTTTTTAAATCTTCAGAAGAAAAAGGTGAAACTAATCTTAACATGGTTTCTGTACAATCTGGAAAACATCATCGAAACTTAAGAGTAAAATTCTTCTGTATTCAGCTACAGCTTATAGAAAGCCATTCATCCCTCTATTTATAGATGCAGAAAATACCAACCTGACAATATATTTCCTATTGTTTGAAGTACCCCCGACCAGTATAGGCCACGCACTGAAGTTTAATTTTGGTACAAGCTTTGGCATTCATTTGAGAACGTGTCTTACTTGGCCTCCTCCTTCAAAGAACTTTTCAGGCTATGCTTATTATGCTTAGAAATAGACTGCATAAAGACTTTTTCATACTTCTAACTGATACTCACGTGTTGTACCTGTCAAACTGCAGCAGTTAGAAGGCTGTAGGCTTGTCCAGGGCTTGCAGAGAAAATTGCTTAGTTTCTGTCTTAAGAAAAGCTTGCAGAAAATAGTAGTAAATGGATTCTTTCATTGGCCAAAAAAAAATGTAAGTAGGTGTAGCTTTGTAATGTGTAACCAAGGACTTTGGCTAATATGGCCTTGTAAAAATGTTTGATAGCAATTTCATTACTGCTTTTTGCAATGTGAAACTGAGGTATCCGTAGCATTGTACTGTATTTAAAGAACAATAAGTTTCATTTCAGCACTTAATGTCAGCACAACCTCTATTCTGCTTCTGGATTACCTTAACTCCCTCAAAGAGGAATGTGTGTGGAAAAAGGGTTGTTTAAACATTGGAGTTTTAAGATCAGGCAAGTCCAGGAGTGTGTTCAGAAATGAATATTGTTATTGACAGCAGTATTTCTGCTGTCACATCTTCCCTATTTCTGTTAGGACAAAGGGAAAAAAAAAAAAAAGATGGCATATAATAACTTGCCCAATCTGAGTGGTTTAATACCATTGGTGGAAGTTTAGTATATTACTGCAAAGTTTTAAACTTTGTCTTTTTAGCTGTAGTTGTCTTTTAAAAGAAACACTTCTCAGTACTCTGGAAAAGCTTTTTTCTTTCCCGCTTCTGTTGCTATCTTCGTTATACCCAAAAATGGTCACATGAATTTTGGTTAAAGTCTGTGATTCATCTGCGGGTAGAAATCAAATGTGGAAAGCTTCCACCAAAGAGGCAAATATTGCAAATATTCAGGGAGAAATGTATGACGGTTCAGGCTTTTAACCTGATTTCTAATGGTCATGGTCTACACGATCAGATGATCAGACAGTGTTTTAAGCAGTCATGTGGATGAATTTTTCCAGAGGGTTCTTAATGGGTATGAATTAGTTTATTACTTAAGAGAAACGGATGAAGGTTTTACAAATTCCATGTGTTAAACGTTTTGTGTTGAAATTTTGAGAGGGATAAAGACTGCTGTTCAAACTTCAGGTATATATGTTATACCAAAGAAGCAAAGCAATGTATAGAATTAAAAGAAGTTAGCTGGCTGTTAACATTTCTGACAAAGTCCGATAGCAATACTAGAATACTGCAGCAGATCTGTTATTTAGACATACCAGTAAATAACGTAGAGATTCTTTTTCTACCTTACAATCTTAAAGATCATGGGTTTTAAAACGACGTTGCACCCCTAACAACGTAGCTGTCTGTATGGCATCTGGAAAAATAGGTCTGAGAACTGATTTTTGGCGGCGGGTTATTGTCAAGATTGAACATCAGATCTTTGGTATCCCTGTGGAGTCTTGCACTGTGAGCTCTGTTGAGAGGAACTTCTGGACAGGGTTTGGCGAGACAGATCTATAAGACGATTTTTCAGAAAGCCAAGGGAAGGAGTGTAGCATGCTAGATATAAAAGGTCTAGTTCAAAGCCAGCTGTTGCAGGAGGAGAGGGGTTAGGTGATCTGATCTTTCAATTTCTATTAATAGCTACAAATAACAAGTTGGCATGCTAGCTAACTACAGTAAGCAATACTATGCTACACACTGGTGCCAGGGGTGCTCTGTAAGCATAATATAAAATGGCAAGAAAAAATTCCCTTCCCAGTTAAGCAGAGGAGCTGGTATTCATTACTTAGGTCACACTAAGTTTGTAATGTAGCCTTTTGCTTCAGAGCAATCAGGTTGGTTTAATGTGAACTTAAGGTAGCTCATGTTTTTTAATAAACAGAATAACTAAGAACAATGTATCTGGTGGTTTAAACTTTATTTAACTAGATGTCTTGTACAGGAAATACATTTGACCCAGACATAAAAGCAAATATGAAGTAGAGTGGTTACTTATGCTTAACACCCTAAATTAGAGTGAAAATTAAATACCTGAATCATTATGAATAACAAGAAGCTTGTTGTGTGGACCTAGTATCAATTAATACCTGTGGCAGTTGCATTTCTCTCAGTGAGAGTAATTGCTAACAGCAGTATAAAACTTCAGGTAGCTTAATCCTGTTCAACACAACAACTTCACTCTTCATCTTTTGGGAACATTAAAGAAATTATTGTATATTTGCATTGGGAATGTGCAAGCTGAGGCATATGCCTCTGCTGTCAAAGTGACAATAAGACTTAGGACTGTCCAGATTTTTTAACTTCATTATCATAGAAACTTTTGGAAAGTAATACATGCTAATTTCCTTCCTTTAATTACTCTGGAAGGGAAAATAGTGGGCTGATGTGATGACTACCCTCGAGTCTGACCATCTGAAAAGAACAACAGGATGTTCTTTGTTCATGCTGCATGTTTAACTTGTAATTTCTGTTCTACTATGGAAGTTTAACTTGTCGAGCAAGTGAGCTGTGAGGGTTACGCACGGGTACTTGGGGAATAAAGTGAAGAAATTTATTCCAGATCGGAATGATTTGAAAAATTCAAGCTGCCACAAAGTGCTAAATGTGTTCATTTAATTAGATAACTTATGGCGTGTACAGATGTAGCTGGTCTCAAGGCTGGTAACTTACAGAAATTTATTTCAATAAGTAATTCCTATATTGAATAAGATTCAGATGAAATGAGGGGAATTCTATTTTCTTTTCATTCTCATTCATACATGTGGTAAATAGAGAACTGCAGTTGATATTTCGAGTGCTTATGCAAAATTCTGTGGGTTTTACTCAATCTTGAAGGCATTTTTCCGTCAAGTAGTTGCATTTCAGTCATTGTGTAGGCTAAGCTTTGCTTCATCTGCTTTCTCCAGTTTTTTTATTATTTATACTTACTGTTTACACAGCCTAATGGACGGTCTTTCCTTGATGTATCTGAGGATGAAATAATACAGCCTGTCTGTAAAGAAAATACAAAGCAACCTTTGGATGCAGAAAAGAAGAATGAAAAGGTCAGTTATGTACTTGAAAATGGTGAAGTTTAATGCATGTTACTTCAATATCTAATAACTCTATTTGTGGTAGGAAATCCAGTTATTTATCTGAGTTGGGGGGGGGCGTGTTTTTAATATGAAGAGTATTAATCTAATGCTCTGTTGGAAAGAGCTAATGTATTTTCTCAGCTTCTGAGATCATGCCTTATCGTGGAGTGTTTGCATCAAGCAAAACAAACCCCCCTGCTAAACACTGATGGCATTGTTTGCAATTTGAAGATGTTAAACCTACAGAAATCAAGTTTGTGTTTAATCTTTGTGGGTTTCTGTGGAGATGCGGCATAATGATAGTATTGTTAAGTGGCTTGTAAATGGCCCAACAATCGAGGGACTACCATTGAAAGGATTAAGAGCATGTGCATACTTATTTCTTTTGTCAGATGTATCCATTAGTGATTAGAGATCTTAATTTCTGATGACAAACACAGGCTTTGAAGTCTGGTGTGAGCTTTCTTGTTGTGCAAATTGAACAGCTGCATTAGAACATCTTTTTAGAGCTTGATCTGAAGCTGTATGTACTAGGTAGCCATACTAAAGACAATGTTATTTTTTTTTCCTCTGTGAGGACTGATCTCTTCTAGCTTTGCCATAAATGCTCTCTCTTCTAGGCAACATAGGTGTATTTATGATAGGCCCCTGAGCAAAACTTTATTTTGTTTCTTTTGCTAACGTTGTGCACGAAACTTTCTGACTGGCATGGATTTCTGAGAATATTTAATATATTTCCTGGCTTATGCTACAGTGAAGACTAGCTACCAGTTTTGTTCTGGTCTGGTAAACATCGCATTTTTTGTTTTAATTTTTTTACTATTAGGAATGATAAAAACTCACTCTTAAAAACCTTTAAATATGTACATACATGTATTTTGACAAAGTAAATTGACTCAAATCATTTGATATATTTGAGGATTAACTAATAAAATTTCCTTCACAAAGTGCTTTTGCTCTAACTATAATGAGGAGTTCACGAGAAAGAAAACACTACTTCATTACTGGAATTTGTTTAGCTCAGTCAAGCTCTAATTAACTTACTTGACTACCCTTTTTTATAGTTTGTTGGTGAAAAGAAAACTATCAGAAAGTTAATTGTATCATGTCAGTTGGCTATAGTACTCTGCAAGCTTTCATCATTGACAAATAGGCTTATAAGGTGAAGCCATTTTACAGAAAATTTCATGCTGCACGCTTCTTTATCTTCTCCATGAGTCACATATCAGACTGTTCTTTTCAAGAACGGAACAAAATGTGATCCTGAAGGAACAACCACATTTTTATTCTTAACTTTCACTTTACCTTAAGCATGTTTCCAGGCAGGTAAGGTGTTTCAATACTCAACCTGAGCTTTACCTTAAAACTGAATGTTGAAATGTTAAATGAAAGCTGCAGGAGGCTGGTACCACCACATGGATTTCTGATGCTCGTTCAACAGATTGTTTTCCTATCACTTTGGGGAAGCGTGTTTGCCTCTGGAGTTGATTGTTACCCTTCAATTAAAAACAGCCCCAAGTACTTGCTTTAAGCTGTGGGTAACTCTGCAGACATCTAATTATTTGGTTAAGCCTCTCGGGGCAGCTGTTGTGTTTGTAACGTTATAAGCCTGCTAAGAAGAACGTTAGGGGTCCTGTGTAGGTGTTCGTTCTTTGTATGGCTTGAGGTGGGCGGTAGGAGGTGATGGGTAGGATTTAAGTAGTGCGTGCATGTATACAGATATATAAATACATATAATCTGTGACCTGAAGGGTATGATTTTTTTTGTTGTGCTTAAATATTTGCTTTTGATGAAAAACAGAATTCCATTCGTGTTTCTGTATTTCTTAGCTCCTTCAGCCTTGTGAGTTTCATGCATGTTTTTTTTCAGGGTAGTCATTTAGGTTTTGTCCTCTTGTTCTGCTTTGTGTGGAAAGGAAGCTTTGGGCAATGTCTAGGTTGTGGCTGATTCATACAGTTCATCATTCTCTTGACACAGAACAGTTCCTTCCCTTTTTTCAATTTCAGTGACTTGCGCAGTACAGGGTTTTTAGTCATTTAGTATATGGGACTCTATTTAAAAAAAAAAAACTTCTCTGGATGAGACTGTAGAATCTTAAAACTTTATTGCCAGTTCTTTTTTTAAAAAATACACAAAACTGCCTTGTCCTGGATACTAGAAATAAACAGACCATTAAGAATGCAGAAGAAAGGCTTATTTCTCTATAGTTTGTTCTTGCATGGGGGACCATGTATCTTACAGACATAAATTTTGGCAAGCCTGCCAAGTTCCTCATGTGCTCCTTGGCTGGTGACAGACCCAACACTGGCAGCTTTCTGTGTTGCAGAAGCTGACACTTTGAATGAATAGGGCTTCTGCAAAATGGTTGGCTAGGTTGCTTGAGACACTTTAACATCTTTAACCTTTAGCAGTCAGTTTGTTACCAGGATAATGATGGGTACAGAACTTGGTTTGGCAGGTGTTGAATAAGCTAGATACCTAATTATAGTTCCAGTAACTCAGGTTAGGAAAGCAAATGTATTTTCAGTATTTGTATTCTCAGTTGTTGTTACTAACAAGGACTGTTTTTAAAATCTTAACTTTCAAAACTGTTAAGCTTTGATGTTTTTATCAGAAACGTAATGCTTGATGTCATTATCTCTGTAAAAGTGAATTTCTTAAGAAACTGCAGTTATAACCTGGAGAAGCAGTCATCTTAAACTGCTATCTGAAAGACTTGTGAAGTGTTCTGACGTGTTCTCTTCATGTCAAAGACCAGATGAGTGATGATGTCTTTGTGGATGTGAGATTCTAAGACCTCAGTTTCCGTTCTCAGTGTAGGTGAGACTGGAGGATGAAGGTGCACGATCACTAACCTTGCCTTTGCTTAACTGGCAAGAAGCAAATCATAATCATCTTTTCATGCTGTCTGCTGTCATGCTTAATCCTTTACTTGGAAGGTGCTCTGAGAAATGATTTGGCTTGTTCATGTTCTTAGAACCAATTCTTCTAAGGTAGCTTTTGAAACAGGCCCTTTTCTTTTAGAGACTGTTCTGAAGTTACCCAGCCAGTATGTGGGTAAAGGTAGTTTCCTGAGCGAGTCTGTGAAATAATTCTGTTTGGATGCTTGCATATTGTGGGTCCCCTAGTACAGCAAGTGGTGAATTAACTGCTCTAGTCAGTTCTGTGTTACAGGTGTGCTGGCACAGCACTGCATACAAGCAGTGGCATTTTTATTAGCTGCACTAACAAGCTATGCTGCTTTCAGGACCTATGTGGAAGCTATGAGATACTTTGGGGGCATGCTAACTCAAAGACACGTACACTGCATACTGTAGTGGACCCATAGGATTTCTGCTACAACAGTGGTGATAACTTATTTGTTACCAGTCCTAGAGAGATTGGTGTATGGTACTTAGCCATCTAAGACTTGCAAATCATAGTCTGAACTCAGGTAAAAAGCTGGTAATTAACTATTACCCAGTTGCTAGTCTTGCTCTAGACATCAAGAAAGACATTCAGTATACTTGAAATACCCCTGTTAGAGTATTCACATACAGAAACACTGAATCGGTGGAAGTTGTGATTTAAAGTGAGTAGATAGCCTTCTTTCTTTAAAAACTTAAATATTTTTTTTCATTTAGGTTTATCTAGTGGTTCTTAGACACCTCTTCACTGGATCAAAAAGCTTTTTAGTACTGTATTTTCTTTGTAAAAAGGCAGGCAAGTCATTTTGCTATCGCTTTGGCTTATCAAAAGGCTAAACTCAAAGGTTTTTCTGCAATATACTCCCTCCAAATATCTAGGGTCATTTTTCTTTTTTTTTATAGTATCTTTTTAACATTTTATATTATTACCTGTTGCACCAAAACTGCTTGCAGGGGTAGTCATCTCTGTTCCTATTCATTTATCTTTGCCTGTATAGCCATGGAACAATGACAGGTGGAATCATTTAAAATAAATAAAAATGCATATTGCTCTAAGCCCAGTTCCTGCTTTGAAGTAATTTTCCGTGCTGGAATTCTTACCAACTTGTTTTTTGTTTGTTTTGTTCCTGTTTGCTTGTAATTTAAGGTATCACTGTCATTCTTTGTTGCTCCATGTACATGTATAACTATACAGATTTTACCAGTGGGATCTGTCTGTCAACCAGTTCATATTTCTCTGTGGTTGTGATGCTATCAGCATTGCTTCTTCCACAAGGATTTGTGTTCTGTAGCATAAATACTTCTTCCCTCCATCTGCCATTTGTGTCCTGCACAAGGTTTTCATGCCCTTTAACAGTCTTAATTTATGCTTAGGAATAAGTATTGGTTAGTAGGCCTTTAATTTTCAAGGGACTGTCCATACAGAGGGTTGTTAAGAAAAAATCTGTTTTAAGTTTGCTCCTGTTCCTTTGGTTTTGTTTTTAAAATTCTAAGTACATAATGAGTAATCACCAAATAATTAATAAGATAATGTTTTATTTTTATTCTAGTCAAAGAAAAAAAAGAAATCAAAGGGAGATGCTAAAACGGTTCAAGATGCATCACGTGTAGATGGAAAGGAAGTTGATGAAGGTACTGAACACAAACAAAAAAAATCAATTAGATGTACTTTGATTTAAATGCTATTACTTGTTTGTGACTCATAAACAGAAAACTCATTTTGTCCTAACTCGAGTTGTATATTAGATCTGGAAATCTGATCTGTGAAATAACATTTAATGATTTTAACTGTATTTCTTACAGTTAAACTTACAGAAACTGAGAATAGTCATGTATAATATAATAACTTATGTTATTCATGTTTGCTTTGGGAAGCAAAGTGCTATTGTATTGCATCCAGGAAAAAACTTACATTCTGCCAGTTGTTCATTTTCTCCAGCTAATGTTGAAGTTGCCTGCTGGGTCTGATTTTTAAACTGAAGCTTTTTTCAGACTTCAGCTTGATATGAGACAAGGTAAAGCTCTTTCCTGTTTGCACTCTAACTTAATCATGTTTTCATTTTGGGGAACATATTAGGAACCTGGGAAACTAAAATCAGTAACAGAGAAAAGCGACAGCAGCGGAAGCGAGACAAGGTGTTGACTGATGGTGGCTCGGGAGAATCAAATCCCCAAGGGTCAGAAAACACAGCTACTGTTTCCATCGAACAGCTGATGCCTACACCATCACTTCCCGTTGGTCTCAGAAAAAATAAAGGTATGATAGTCAAGAGGTCTGTGAAAGAATTCTAGAAAGATGATGTCTTTTGAATACTTCCAAAACAGTCACTATTTAGGCATAACGGATATATTTGGAGTAGTAACTCTTGAGGAAATTATTTCAAACCTCAAAGATAATTTTCCTTGTGCAAAACTCCCCCTCTTTTTGAGCCACGGTTTTGGGAGAGCTCAGAAGAGGACGTCCTGGAGCAAATGGCTGAGGCAATGTCCTCCACCTCAGAGCTGTGTCAACACCAGTATGGTATGTCAGTAGCTGCACAGTTGTGTGGCTGTGTGTCTCCATTCCTGCCTTCATGCTCTGCTGATTCTGCCCATTATGTTCCCTGGAAACTTCAAACTCACCCCACAGCACTCTTGCAGGCAGTACCAACTCAATTTTTTGAGTGCTTCCTTGTAGGAAGGTTACACCTACAAGTTCTCTACGCTGATTATGTTCATTGCTTAACATATAGACTTTTTTCACTGTCTGGTTTATTAGTACATGCGCTAACGCAGTTCATGATGGTGGGACACATCTGGCTGAAGTTTGGTAATCAATTATAGCAGCTGAGGTTTCAATAAGGAAATAGGCTTTAGCTCCAACGGCTGCTGCTGTTTCAGGTAGTCTCATGGGTTTAAGCAGTGTGTAGGCATAGGAATTCATATTTGGCTGGAGATGAGAAGTGATTTAGGAAGCTAAAAGAATCTAAACACACAGTTTAGTTTTCTGGAGTATTTCTAACCTGTTGATATACTCATCTCTTTAATGAAATGATATTCTAGCTAAACAGCAAAAAGACTGAGCCTAGCTACTATCTGGTACCTTGTGACAACATATTGAAACTTGCAGAACTTAACAATTTTATTTATTTTTTTTTTAAATTGACTCTTGTTTGAATCTTGACTGAGTGCTTTGAAATTGGATAAATTGTTTCCCGTTTTCTTTTTTTTCCTACTGTTTGTATGCAAACAGCTTCAAGGAACAGTAATTCCAGCTGTCTGTATACTCTGTGGCTATCCATGACTATTGTAAACTCTCTAGGCAAAGTTCCTTATGCAGCATATGTTTTGATGTATCACCTAATATAAGATTAAATTGAAAAGAATCAGCTGTTTCTAATGTTTTCATGGGAAGGTGAAAGTCAGAAATATCTCTAATCATTTCAGAAATGTATAGCTACCCTTAGCTGGAAAAGGACAGCCTCTGTTTTAGATGTCTGCTTGCCATTCTTGGGAAACTAGCTAGAATTCTTCGGAATCTGCAGCTACTCAGTTTGTAGGCTGTAAATCATCTTTGAGTTCAATTTGTCTATAAGAATCAACATAATGAAAGATAGAGTATTCATTTTACTCTTAAGTTTCCTGGAGATGGCTTAATTTACTTTGAGGTACTGATTAATGTTAGTGTGTGTGTGATTTTTGTTTTTAAGTACCAGTATTGAATATTCTTAAAGGAATCTTACAGGTGTTGCTGTCTGCAGAAATTTACTCTAGCTCTGTCTCCTCCTACCTCTTCACCAGGTGATACGCTTCTGAATGTGCAAGTTAGCAGCTCCAAACCTTCCAAAGGGGAGTCATCAATTCCACAAGGTAAAAGGCTTTCATGAGTAGGAATCCTAATTAACTGGAAAAGTGTTCTACAGAAGCGAAAGCACATTGTCAGTGCAGGGTGTTATGTGGTTACTAATCTGGAACTCTATTATGCAGCTGGCTCTTTTTGCTATGCAAATGTTATACTTCTAAGTTGCAGTTACTACTCAACAGGTTGAAAACAGTCTCTATTACATCTGTTGGGATGTATAAAATACAAAAAAAAGGATCTAGTGTCTAAAATTTTCAGGCAGATTGCTTGCTGTACAGATCATTACTTGCAGAATGCTAAAGCTTATTCTCAAGCTCCAGTTAAAAATCCCTCAGGCAAGCTTTTCAAATTTACTTTTTTTTGTTAATAAGTTTATTTGCTCAAAGAAAAACAAATATAGATAATTGATTTCAAAGACAGTTGATTATTGTGAAGTTTGCACGCATTGCAGGTTGTGTACCTGTGGGTTATTCAGTTCTTTCAATGCTCCTCTGAGGGGTTTACTGTAAAGGCATTCATTTTGAGGACATTATTTGTCATATAATTGTTAAACTATTTGGCTATTTTTAGACTATGCTTGACTGATGAATTGATATCTTTTTGATAAGAGATGGTGATAGAGCAGTGCTTGAAGTGAATTAGTTTGGCACAGTGATATGCAGGTGGTGGTTTCTTATAGCCAGCATTAATGGCATTTCTTTAAACAAGAGTAGTCACTGCATTTAAACAAGTCAACAAATGAGTTATTAAAAGCACCCAGGTCCAGAAAATGCATCACTGCCAGTTTTTGAGAGCTTTGATTCACACGCTAACTTTCTGGACCACAGCATAGAGAGAAGGAGCCATGTACTTCAGAGATGCATAATGATAGGATAGGAGGCAGTGATTAAGTTGCACTAAGGGAAATCCTGTTTGGGCGTCACCAAGGAAGCTCTTTACACGGTTGCCCAGAGAGTCTTTGAACTCTCAAGTTCTGGTAATCATAAAGACTGAGTAATGTGACACAATTTTTAAGTAAGCTGTGTGGAAGTTAGCAGAAGGTGGAAGTAGGTTGCTTCCAGAGATCCACTGCAACCTTAAGTTTTCAGCCCTTTCTATGAAAAGTTTCTGGAAGAGTGGTTTATTAAACAGAATAATCAAGCTTTTGCTCCAGGACTTCAGCTGTCTTCTTGCAAGATTTCCAAAGAGTTGTTCTACCAGCTACACTAACAGTTTCTGTGTTTGCTGGTTTTGTTGTTGCCATCCCCTAAGAGGACATGTTACCCACAGAGGACAGAAATTGACGCAGTGTAGCATCTCTAGAGTTGTGAGAGAAAGGAGGGTGTTTTTAGGTACAGGGGTTGTTACATTACAGCTGGCTGTGTTTGGAAATAGGATTAATCTAGGAACATGTAGGCGTATCTCAGCAAATCATTTCTCTGCAAGTGAGGCTGCCTTGAATTTGGTATGTTCATGCTGCCTGAGTGGAATTCATTTATGAAATAACAACATTTCATCTGTAGTTTTTGTGGACATATGATTCTGACTTAATTATGTGTCATTTTTTAGCTGAGTATTTATTTAAGTGTAACACTCATGATAGGTAGATACTTAATCATTTGTCAAATGCAGCTTTTTTGTTGTTTACAATGTATTAAAAGAAAAAAAAGATTTGATATGCAGGGCCCTTTGAGAAAGGCGTGTCATATATAGGTCACGTTGGGTGTGCCAGGGGATCGTTAGCCTTTGTTTTATGGGGACGTTAAAAGAAAAGAAAATTTATAATGGTCTTTGTCTTGGTGGAGTACTGAGTCCTTTGAAAGTGTGTATTAAACTTGCTCTGACTAGTAGTTCCTCAGCAATGTAGACTGCAGATAAAGATTTGTGGTCTCTTACCGTAGTATAATGTAAAATACATTGCTTATGAATTATTTTGAGAGCTTGCCATGGGGTTTTTTGTTTGTTCCTCCCCCCCCCCTTCCCAAGTTTGGTCTCTGTAGTTAATTATAGCTATGTGCCTAGTAAATTCCATGTAGCACTTGGGAAGCATTTTCTACATGTCATTTCTTCTACTTAGTGCTTAGAGGACTATTGTATGCCACCATAGTTACAAAACAGAAATTGTTCTCCATTCAATACATCGGGCTCTCCACAAGCCATTGCATCACCATAGACTGACAGAGAAATTGCCTTGTTTTTTAATCTAGAGGCACCGATGAAGCAAGATAAAAGTCTTATAAAGAAAGGGACACAGGAAGAAGGGTGCAGTTTGGTGCTGTTTTTTCCCCTCACTCTTCAAGTTAGTTGACAGATGGTGTGTATCATCTGAACTGGAAAATCAGCTGAGACAGAGCAGCAGCTCTTCTATATCACCCTGGTGTAGCAAAGCTGTTGTTCATTTGTTCTTTTTTTATTGCTAAGTGTATGCGCGTGTAAGATTTTAATTCTTCATCCAATTAGTATTTTATGTAACGTTTCATTATTCTTATGCTCAAGTTTCTACAGGATTGAGTGAAAGCCATACAGTAAATGGTGGAAGCTGGAATGAGAAGTCTGTAAAAATCTCCTCACAGATTGGTGTAGGGGAGGAGAAATGGACGTCTGTTTCCTCAGCTACAGCTGGGAAGAGGAAGACTGAGACATCGGCTTGGGGCCAAGACGCTGGAGATGCTAATGGGAATGGAAAGGACTGGGGCGTAACCCTGGTGGGCAGGCCCTGGAAAGAGCGTTCTTTGTTCACTCCTATTGGTAAGCTATTTTGAGAAAAATTTGCTTCACTTAAGCATTTCTACATAATTTTTGGTACTGAATCTCTGGAATAGCTTTGTTTATGTGTTCAAAAAAAAATCTTGGAATGGTCTAGTGAAATGTGAACTAAGCATTTTCTGTTTATTGCAAGTTCTGATGGCTTATCTTCTATGTTTCTCATTAGTTTAATGGGGTTTTCAGTTTTCATCTGAAATAAAATGATTTCTGTAAGGGAACCAATTTTTTTTTATCACTTTTCTAAAATTCTGAAGGTGTATGTTAAGTCACCGAAATATATATATATTTTTTTTTCTTTTTTGACATTTGTCTTAGAACCCAGGTTATAAGTCTGTTCGGTTGATACATGATTAAATCAGTTGTGTTGTATTGACAGACATCTGTTTAGGCTTCAGGAATGAAGACTGCTCGGCTCTTGTGACAGTCTCTTTTTACTGTTTTTACTCTTTTTAGCGTTACTACTGTTTTTTTTCTCATTAGAAATTTTTTTAGTTTTTGCCAGTACAATTTTTAATTTTTTTTGCTTATATTGTCCAGATAAATGATGAAATTTTCATTTGTCTGTGCAACAACCTTATTAGTAGATACTGTAATATTGCCCTTTCCATTGCTCAGTCTAAATGATCATGGTCTTTTGTGGAAAGCAATGTTCTGCTATAGTCAGAAATGCTGCTTTTGTCTAGACTTGTTTAATTTGTCCCACTTTTCTTGGATTGTGGTGCCAGAAACTGGACCTGGTATTCCATTGAAAGCTTTTTATTACTGAGAAGAAGCAAGTGTTTTTGTTGTTGTTTCTATTTTTTTATTTTTCCATATTCTCTGCTTTATATTCTGATGTGGTATTTCTTAGCAACTAAACAGCTTGCTCTTGTTTTGTTGCTGAGAACAAGTCACGCATGACCAGACTGATCAGCTTCTGGTTAAGTGACCAGATTGTGGATGAGCAGAGGGTATATTTTTACCATCCATAACTTCAGTAATGTTTTCAATGCTGTCTCTCTTAGCATTTTTCTATCAAAATTAGGATGGTTTGTATCAAAGTTAGGCTAGCTGGAGAGGAGCTCTGTGGGAAGGGCATCCTGGTGGAAACTGAGGTGGACATGAGCCAGCCAAAGGCCCTGGCAGCAGAGGACACCAACAATGTTCTGGGCTGCATTAACAGGAGTCAGTGGATTGTGGCAGTGATTATGCACTCTACTAAGCACTTCTTGGACTGTATCTGGAGTACTATGCCCAGTTTTGGGGCACCCTATACAGAAAGGATGTTGATCAGCTGGAGCAAATTCAGCAAAGAGCCTTAGAAATGGTCAGTTGTTGGAGCCCTGGAAGGAGAGGCTAAGGGAATGGGGTCTGTCAAGCTTGGGGAACAGAAGACTTCAGGAGAACCTGACAGCTCCCTGCCAGAACCTGTGAGGTGTTCCTGGGAAGGCAGAGACAGGCTCTTCACAGTGGTGTGTGGTAGGAAGACAACAGACATAAATTGAAACAGGAGGTTCAGACTGGGTATAAACAGAAACTTTTTCTTCACAAGGACAGTCAGGCATCGCAAACTCACAACCTTTGTGGGTAACCAGTCTTCATCCTAGGAGACTTCTAAGATTCAACTGGATAAAAAACACTGTGCAGCCTGGTCTGACCTCAGAGCTGACTGTGAGTTGAGGAGAGGAGGATGTATTAGGGACCTCCTGAGGTTCTCTTTGTAGCTCATTATAACTCCTAGTAGTTTCTCCTTCTAATCATATAATTGCATTCTAACCAGCTGCTTCTTTTTGACACATTTATGCCACTGGTTATTTTGTCTTGTTTTCTACTTTCCACTTCACAGAGTTAAGTATGTTGTAACTCTTAATCAGCATCTCCTATTTGTCAAAAATTGTTCAGAACTCAGTTCTGTTCTTAACATAAAAGCAATTTGCTTGAAGCTAGGTGTCATCTACAGAGCTAACAAATAGGCTTTTTCATAACTCCAGTCTTGTTAATAGGGGGGAAAATACACTAATATGGGTGTCAAAACTCAATGTACTCACAAAGGAAAAGTTTATATATAGAAGAAAATCTAATATTCCGTATAGAAATAGTGGTAGAGGGAGAAAGATCGTAGTCTGAAAATGATTTCAAGCTAAATGTTCAGACATTCACACCTTTGTCAGTGCTGATTGTCTCATGTAATAAGGCAAACACTGCTCTCAGCTGTATGGAATGTTAACATGGCTGGAACTTCCTCTGTTTTACTGACCCTATTCGTCATTAAATAGCTAACTTTTTCAACATTGCCAGCAGTCTGAAGCTTTGCTTTTTCTTTCTTTTTTTCCCTTCCCCCACAGCTGCTTGGAATGTGGATGCACGGATTAATACCTCTGAACCAAATTCTACTTCTTTTTCTTCTTTTGGATTAACTCCTGGAGTTTCTGGTATGTATGCCCTTCCAAAGATTTTTGGCTCTTTTCTCCTATAACAGGTAGAAACAGACTTGCCAGGTGTTATTTCCATCATTTGTCCTTTGAAAATAGTAGTGGTAACTGTAAACAAGTAGAAGAGCTGTTTTGTGAAAGTCTGCCAAGCTTTTTGCTGTTGTGCTAAAATAATGCAATAAGGTAACTTTGAAATTGATAATCAAAAGCTAAATCAATGAGGTATTTCTGCTTGTTTCTGTGTTTAATCTAAACGATTGGCATAGGAAAACAGTTTTTACCCTGAACTTTCAGGGGTTTTGTTGTTTGTTGATTGGAGTTCTTTTTTCCCTTCAAGGATCTGAAGCACTACTTTCAAAATGTGTTATGTAGGCAGGAGTTGAAGTCCTGAGGTTTTCTAGGATGGGTAGGAAAGCTGAACTCCAGGGTCATCTTGTTTTGAAGGGTGAAATTGCTGTAGAACACAAACCTGGCTTCCTAACAGATCTTGTATGTTAAACTACTGACATAAGTGCTACAGTGATTATTTAATAAAGGGGTCAGGTTTTCTTCTCTTGCTTATTTGCTCCCCATCTAAAGATCTTGGCATGTCTATTTTCTTCTAGCAAGTAGCTAGCCAAGTGCTTATGCATTAAGCTATGTTTACTGGTATTGCAGTTTGTGGTCTTCCAACTGTGAAACTAGCATTCATTGTCCTATAGCTCACAAGCGCTTCATTCTCTGTGCGCATCTGTGCCAGTATAACAAAGAAGTTATAAATGCCAAGGTCTAATTCACCAGGCTCTCCAAAGAATAGCTCACTTAATGACAACTTATCTTAAGGAAAAAAAAAAAGGTAATTGTACAAAAAATGTTAATGAAATTGGATTTCCCGGAGGGATCCACTTGAATTTAAGTTCAGTTGCCAGACTGAAACTTAAGAAAACTTAGTTAATAAAGTGGGAAAGATTGATCTGAGATTCAATGTGCAATACCATCATTCCAACTTGAATTCAGAGAGAAGCATGAAGACAGTGAAGTATATTTATAGTCTTTGATGCACAAAAGCCACATTAGTAAATATTTACTGCTTACTATAATGGCTAGTTAGTAAAAGATTGAGAATGTGTTAATATTCCTGTCATTTGAGAGATTTTTTTGCAGAGGCATTTATAAATTAGGGAGAACCAGTTAGCTATCTATGGTCTTAGTTAAACTTCTTTTCAGAAATGTCTCATAAAGCAGTATGTTAATTTCTTTCAGTCCCACAAATGAGCTTTTTGGAGTTTTTTTCTGAAATTTTCTTTGCTGATTCCTTATTTTTCTTAAAATAATGATGTTAGATGTCTAACACTTTTTACTATCATAGCTGGAATTAGGCTTTACTGTTGTTCATCATGCTGCTTTTATGTTCCTGGAACTTTTTACTTAAACTGGTTGTTGTTATGCTCAAATAATGCAACAAAGTAACTTTTAAGATGATAATCAAAAGCTAAATCAATAAGATTTCTGCTTGATTGTGTGCTGAGTCCAAATGACGAGCATAAAATTCACTTAGTAGTAAATAATTTAATTGTTATATCTGTGATATAATCAAGTTTCTTTCTAGTAGTCTTCTAAGCTGATAAGTATAAGAGTTTTTACTTACACATGGTGAATAATTTTATCACCCATAAATTTTCATTGTTTTCCAGTTAGAGGAGACTGCTGTAAGTCTTGTGGAATGTTGTTAATCTGCATTACCTTTATTTTTTCATTTTCTACTGTTAACTTTGTCTTCCTTTTTCAGTTCCCTTATTTTCTGAATAAACCTCACTTTGAAGAGCTTGTTAGTTTTGCTGTACTGTGCAGTCTTTAGAACCAGACTTTTTTTTTTTCCTTGGGCCATTGCTATTTTGCTTTGAATTTATTACTTAAGAAAACTGAGGAAGCTTGTAACTTACAAGTACAATTTCATTTATTCCCTTGCAGGATCCAATAGTGAGCCAGTTTCTCAGGCTGGTACTTCCGATTTTCAGTGGGATTTAAGTCACGCTCAACCCCCTGTTGATGACGAATGGTCTGGGTTAAGTATGTTCCTCTAAAATGTTCATTAACAAAAATTGCAATTAACATCACTTTAAAGCATAATTATTTGAGCTATTTGCATTAACCAGTTGTGAGCATATGAAGACAAAAACTGAAATGTTTCGCTTCTGTAAAGATAAGTATCAGTTTGAGGAAAGCAGGAAAAAGTATTTTTGGTGAATGATAACAACTGTTTCTTAGGCAAAATACTTGATATTGAAACACAGAAGTGAAAGCTCATGCATTTTAGTGTAGTTCTGACTGTTTTAATTATCATGTGTTTTATTTAGCAACAGTCTTAATTTACTACAAATGATAAAAAATCTACTGCAAATCTGCAGAAGTTATGTTGGTATTAGCAGATTGTATCTAACTGAGTTTGCCTTTACATGCTTGTATCTTACTGAAAACATCACATTAAGACTCCTGCATTCAGTCTTACTTCCTTGTTTAGCAAGTACTAGGGAATTTGGTGTATATGAAAAGCATATGCAGGCTAGAGATCAATGAAGTTACTTGGGAGTTGTAGTAATCTTGGTGTTTATTTTCCCCTTTCCCCTACTTGCTGATTTCAGAATATATTTGTTCTTAGCAGAGTCAAAAATCTAAACAAGGGCTGTTAGTACTGTAGTGATGTTACAGACTTACCTAAATACCTACCAGGGAAACTGTACCTGTGAAGAAAGCTTACAGCCTTAAGTCCACTTTTTGAATTGCCTTGTGGTTGATATTCGTATATTTGACTGAATAAAGATGTTTTGTTTTGTGGTTTTTTTTTTTCCGAAATAAACAATGTAGTTTCATTAGCTCATTGGCTTAAAAACTTGGTCAACAAAGTGACCGGCAAGGCTGCCGTATACATGTATATTACCTTCTAAGAACTGTGTCTTATTTAATGACTGTAGGATTAGAATGGACTGATACAATCATTGACTCCATCATTTTTTGTCATGATCATTCTAATACCAGTTTATATAAAAATTCTTTTATCTGGCTTAAGAATAAGGGAAGCACATTTTCGGTTAATGGTTTGGAATTGATCAGTTTTCCATTATAAGAGCATAATTTATTCACGTTTCTGAGCATAGAATGTCTGTATCTACAGCTTCTGTTAATCAAGTCATTTTTTTCATTAGTGCACCTCCATTACTTGGTATCTATGAGAAGGGGGAAATAGGCTTGAACTTCCCTTAAGTGATATACAGATATACCTTACTGATATAACAGGTTCAGTGCATGGGAATTAACTGTATGTGCAAATGCTATGAATTTTATATTTAGAAGAGTGGAATTTTCTTAAAGGAACTAGTGACAGGGCAATAGATAATAAGCTTATTGAGTGTTACACAGTAGTAATTTTTTTCAAATCAGCTGATTCTAGTGTATAATGTTCCAAGTATGCAATATGTATGTAATATACCGTGTAAGTTGAGGTAATATTTTTACAAGAAGACAAGATGAAAAAGTTTTCTAGGTAATCTTAAAATTCTTGTGTACTGGCAAACTACAGTGTTTGCTAGTAAATGTAATTAGCTTTATCATTGCTTTTCCTTTGGGTGTAAGTTTTTAAATGTTTAAATTGAATGCTTCCATAGTTGGCAAAGCAAGTTTGCACCTTTGCCATCAATTTGGCATAGGCAAAAGGTAAAAGAAAATATTTTTGGTAGTCTTTCACTTTGTGTTTATATCATCTTTTAAAACCGAACACCTTGTGAAATCAACTTGCTGTAAGTTTCTGCTAAACTGTAGGGCTTCCCTTCTAGCATTTTTAACTTTTATATAATTGACACTGTCATTCCCCATCACAGCATAAACACGTCATTGCAAAAGGACAATACTAGCAAAATAGAGTAGGGACTTAAAAGCTTGGGAAAAATATGGTATTAAAGAATGTCTGTGTTACAAGATGACATCTGGCTCAATGAGATTTATATTTCTCAGATATGACACTTGTAAAGGATCCTTACTAAGCATCAGTATTATTCACAGTTCATCCTAATGTCTTCACAAACCAGGAAAAAGACTTGAGATGAAGAACAACCCTTAACTTTGTTGCTCTTTACATAGTTCATAAAAGTATCCCAAAGCAATTGCATGTGGCTAGCTGCTGCTGTGACTAGTTTGTAATCCTATTGCTTTGTAAAATAATTAAAACTGACTCATTACTTACCAAAGTCTTCATCTTATCATTAAGGTATTTACATTTTTCAGAAATACAGGAAACACCTGTTTGTATCTTGGTATCAAAGGTGGCTTTCTGCATAGTAATTATTTTCATTTTTCAACTGTTAAAGAGTACCTGTAAAGTAAGGTGACATTCCTGAAAATCTCTTCCATTTTTGTAGATGGACTTTCTTCTGCTGATCCTAGCTCTGATTGGAATGCCCCTGCAGAAGAGTGGGGAAACTGGGTAGATGAAGAAAAAGTTGTTTCCGTTCCACAACCTGAAGAGGCATTATCTGATGTTCAGAAGGTAAAAGGTGATATTTTCCCCTTTAGATCCAAGACTTTGCCCTTACCGCTGCCGTTTCTTAAAGTAACTTAAGGGTGACGATTAAGGTAATCTCTCATTGCCTTTATGCTGATAAGAGCAGCAGCATTTTGTTAACGTGTGGTGCTGGATGTTGTTATAGGGGAAAACAGAAGCCTGTTAGCTCCATGTCAGATCTTGTTTCACCATACTGTAAGGTGTTATCTTTTATTGTGTACTAACAGAGGATTTGGATCTCTCCTCATAAACGCTACTCAACAATATTTGTGTGTGCAAAAAGCAACATTTCTGTGTACATTGTCTTGTGTTTTTCATTTCCCAACTCCTGTACTTTGTTTCCAGAGTGTGTGTAAAGAACATAGCCTATCCAAAGTGAACTGAACAGATAAGATTGTGTTCACTTCCTTTTATATGCCATTAAATCCCTGATAGTTAGTATTTTATGTTTAGTTTATAGGAAGCGTGTTTCATTGTCATCTTAAATGTTTAATATCTTTTATTTCCATATTTAAGGCTTCAGATAATGAAAGAGAAAAAGCAGAGCCAATTCTTCAGAGTTCAACAAGTGGGAAGTCCAAGAAAAAGAAGAAGAAAAAGAAGAAGCAGGGTGAAGAAGCTAACTCTCCTTCACAGGTAAATGGAGCAAGATCTGTCTGAAAATAAATTTATGAGGAATTCACAGAATCAACTTACTTTTGTGACTTAAGCAAAATTATTTAGGGGAAATGTAAAATTCATTTCGTTATTGTAAGGTCCACTACTGTTTTTACAAGTTGAGGTAAATGTATGAAGGATTCCCTTATTAATATTTCCTTTAATTTAAATGATTCTCTGATTGATTGGGCGATCGCCAACTGCATGAAGTTCAATAAGAGCAAGTGCCGGGTCCTGCACCTGGGACGGGGAAACCCTGGCTGCATGTACAGACTGGGCGATGAGACGCTGGAGAGCAGCCTAGAAGAGAGGGATCTGGGGGTCGTGGTAGACAACAAGTTGAATATGAGCCAGCAGTGTGCCCTGGCAGCCAGGAGGGCCAACCGTGTCCTGGGGTGCATCAAGCACGGCAACGCTAGTAGGTCAAGGGAGGTGATTGTCCCGCTCTACTCTGCGCTGGTGCGGCCTCACCTCGAGTACTGTGTGCAGTTCTGGGCACCACAGTGTAAAAAGGACATGAAACTGTTGGAGAGTGTCCAGAGGAGGGCTACGAAGATGGTGAAAGGCCTGGAGGGGAAGACGTACGAGGAACGGCTGAGGGCACTGGGCCTGTTCAGCCTGGAGAAGAGGAGGCTGAGGGGAGACCTCATCGCAGTCTACAACTTCCTCGTAAGGGGGTGTCGAGAGGCAGGAGACCTTTTCTCCATTAACACCAGCGACAGGACCCGCGGGAACGGGGTTAAGCTGAGGCAGGGGAAGTTTAGGCTGGACATCAGGAAGGGGTTCTTCACAGAGAGAGTGGTTGCACACTGGAACAGGCTCCCCAGGGAAGTGGTCACTGCACCGAGCCTGACTGAATTTAAGAAGAGATTGGACTGTGCACTTAGTCACATGGTCTGAACTTGGGTAGACCTGTGCGGTGTCAAGAGTTGGACTTGATGATCCTTAAGGGTCCCTTCCAACTCAGGATATTCTATGATTCTATGATTCTATGATTGAATATAGGGTAGTTCTGCTGGATTTCTGGAAAACATGAAATATATAGAAAATACTTAACTTTGAAATATTTTCTTTCAAAGCAAGATTCTGTACCATAGGGATGCTTCTACAGGGACTTTCCTCTGCGTGGGAAGCTCTCTGTTCCTGTTTCGAAAGACAGCTGCCTTGTGTGCATAGCTACCTAGGAGAACAAGAGAAATTGAAACTCCCTTTCTAGGTGTTCTAGAAATGCAGTTCTACTAGGATATAGTGGTTTTCTAAAGTTCTTCTGTAGTTTATGTGAAATATTAAGTACCTACGACTTTAACTCCACAAGTACAGCTATCCTATGTGAGTCAGATTTGAATGAGATGGATACTGTTTGCAAACTGAGGATGGCTGGAGTTGCATGTGATATTTTTAAATTCTTTTTGAAAAATTACATCGAAACACATTTGTTGTAAAAAGGGAAAAAAAAAAAGGCAAAATCAGATTCCACTTGGCAATTGGAACGTATTTGAATAGATGAAAACAAGTACTTTCTAAATAGGAAAAAATCTTTTGACAGCTCATACTCAGAATACATCCTGCTTCTGCCTGTGGTGACAGACATTCATAAAGGAGGAGGAGGAAAGCATTACTTCAGTCGTAATTACTTTGGATTTTCTGCTTTTTTTAATTGTAAAAGATAAAATTACTGTCAAGTAGAGTTGCTTTAATATTGTGTAAGTAGAGATGGTTGATTTGTGTCAATTTGCAACATTTCTTTTGAGGTTAAAAATAAAAAGGATAGTAGGAAGCTTTCCTATGATTTGAAATCTGTGATGTTCTGGTATCTGCAATAACTCTAGACATAAGTCATGATTAGTATGAAATGGTTAACAGCATTTTCATTGTTTTGCATGGATCTTCAAGATAGAATAGTAAGTTTAGTGATTTAACTTGCTAGTTCTTCTTCAAAGTCACTTAAAATTTATATATTTAAACTCTGAAAGTTGAATGTGTTCGTTGATGAGAAGTATAATTTAAACAGTATAGTCTAAGTGTTCACGTCGTGTTTGTTGACTTTAGGCAGCAGAAGCTACCATCAGAGCTAAATGTAAGACAGGATATTTTCTTACCTGGTAGGAGTCAACTGGCTTTGACTGCATTTTTCACAAGGTTTCAGGGAAAAGAAGGAAGGAAGGAATGTTTTGAGAAAGTACTTCCAGTTTAAAACTGGAGATTTGTGTTCTACTTACTGTTCACCTTAGTGCTTTAAATAAATTTGACTACTGTAATTCCTCATGTAAAAGGAAAACTGTTCAACATTAGTGCTTAAGGAGTAAAGGTTGAGGCTTGGAAACTTAGGAATTGTTTTCAGTTTGTACATAGATATGTTTATTTTACAGGCATCACTGCAAACTGCACTGAGTTGCAAAATATTGTTAAAGCATAATACATGAAAGAAAGCTATACAAGTTAATACCTGAAACTTCCATGTGTTAAGCAAATATTAGTCAACTACTTTAATCTTTTTTAGGTTTTCTTAGTTATTGGAGATAATCGTGGCAACTAAACTGATGCGCAGGGAGAAACAGTGGAACTTTACTGCACATACAGGCTCCTAATTTTTTCCCCAATTTTGTAGGACACTGAAGAACTGGATAGAGAAGCTGGAGAGGAATTTCAAGAGGATACCTCAAAAGCTCAACCACAGCAGGAAATAGCTTTTTCTCTGAAGACCATAAGTACTAGTGAACCAGCTAAGGTAGGGTTATAAAGCTGTATTTATTAATTTCCATTTAAAAATGCTCAAGATGTACTGAAACATTAGTTTGTAATGTTACAATAGGGATATACTTCAGGTTATGTTTAATTTGAAGGTGATCAAGAAGTTGAATTTTAAATACAGGTCAGTTTTGAGTTTTTAAAAAGGGCTTCCACTCTTAAAAAAAAAAAAAAAAAAAAGCAGCACTTGCTAAATCATTAATCATCTTCATCATGACCAAGTTTGTGGATTTTTTTGTTGTTGTTTGAATATATAAATTCTAAAACTTTGAGATCTGGAAACCTAAGAATAAATAGGTAAGAGTGCAAGACTAATATCTTAGCATATCTTACTGTTTCATTGCAACTGAATGAAGAGTTACTGACTTATTATGTTTTGATGTTATTGAACCAATTCACAATTCACAAACTGACCATTCATTTCAGTTCTCAGTTGAAACAAGTACTATAGAAAATACAGGTTCTCTTTGGTCTTTCTCCAAAATAGGTTCTTTAGATAATGTCCTACAAGTATCACACTTTGAGAAGTAAAATATTAAATATTTCTAATGGTGTTGATTTTGTTCCATAAAGTATGAACAATATCAGTGAGACAGTACCTCAGAATTGAAGAATTTACTTCAATAACTAAACATTTGTTACATAAAGATAGCAAGGTTATAACAAGGTTGCATAAAGAAAAAATTTCAATGAAAATAATAGAATGGAATCTTCTCTGAGAAGCTACAGGTCACCAAAGTACAGAAAGTGTATATTGAGAACATGCTGTGAAAAACAGATTCAGACATGTTTTAGCTTATTATAAATATTCTGCATCGAAGTATAGCTTTTACTATGATTATTCAGTTTAGATTTACTTCAACTTTTATTCGAGGTTGGTATCAACTATTCTGTTTGATTCACCAGCTCAGATGTAGACCTATACTGTGCATTATTATTTTTTAGACTGGAGCAATCCTGTTGCTGTGAGTTCTAAGTTTGTTGTGTTTGTATAGGTTGTGCCTATACGTAGCTGCATTGCAGCCAGTGGCAGTTTTGTGAAACAAGATCAAATATTGTATTAAACTTGTTGTGGAGGCAAAAGAAAAGAAAAGGAGGAAAAAAAAATAACTGTTATTGACATTCCCTGAAAGTTAGTTGAACTTGGTGAACATAAAGGGCAATTTGTGAATAGTTACATCTGACAATGCAGATAGCTTATCAGTTGTTTTTTCAAGCCTCTTTGCTATCGGGTTTGGCTTTACTGTAATTTCACGTGTACAAAATGTTTTCTGATACTGAATTGGCTGTCCCAAAACATTTTAGAAATGGACTGCAACTGATGCCTGAAAGGGATGACCTAAGTTTCCATGCTAGGTAATTGAGTCTTAAGCAAATGTTTCTGAAACATGAAAACAAATATGAGGAAAAAATTAAATTTGAGTGCCTCACCACCCTCTGAGTGAAGACTTTCTTCCGAATCACTAATCTAAATCTGCCCTTTATTTTAGTTTAAAGCCATTCCCCCTTGTCCTGTCACTACAGTGCTGGACAGAGTCCTTCCCCAGCTTTTTTTGTAGCCCCCCTTTAGGTACAGGAATTGTATTTTACAATTGTACTAGAATGTATGTTTAAATCTTAATCAAGTTTTTACATGTGGATGGAGAGTGACCCTGTCCTAAAAAAAACTGTGAGTGATGCCAGTAAACTGAATTGGTTACCTTGCACAACTAAGAACTTTCCTGAGTCCTCTTTCTGTTTGAGGCAACGTCGATTTTTGTTGAGGTTAATGTTCATGTGTAGCTAGTTGTTGCCAACAATTAGACAACATTAGAATTGGCAAAGCCTGGAAGTCCTGCGATACGGGAGTTCATTTTATCAGCATAGACAGTATTAAAAAAAAATGTCATACTTGCAGTGTGATGTTAATTATAATGCCAGTAGTTCTCTTATTAAACTTATTTCAGTTGTGTAAGAACACAGGAAAGTTCTCTACCCACAATAGAGAACTTCTACTTTAATTTTTTTTTTCTAATTAAAACTATTAAAACTGTTTAATTTCTTGCTCAGTATTATATGGCTTTAAAATGTATATTGCCTTATTGTATGTTTTGACTAAATTTTTGTGAGATGCTTACGTTAGTGATGGCAACAGTAGAAGATGGTAACTTATAACCTAGGACCTGTGTACATCTGCATCACGGGATGGATGTAGTCATCACTGTTAGGTTCTGTTAGTTTCGCATCCTTGCCACTGTAGGACAACTACAGCCATGAATTCTAAATAACATCCTAAAGTTTTGGGTTTGTTTCTTGACTGATGCCTTGTTTTTCCAGTGTACTCTTATCTGAAGCCTTTTGTTAGTAGGTTGCCTGCTATGGGATCATACAGTTCTTTTTTTGTTCTGACTTTCCTACTAATTTTTTTTTTTACTTGCATTACAACTTGTGTTTTACTGTACTTTCATTCTAGTAAGTGCTACATAGTAAGCTACAGTTACAGTTCATCTCTGTAGTAGGAATCTTCAAAATAGAACAGATAATTGAAAGATACTAAAACTATCTTTCACCTGGTAGTTCATCCTACAGTAGTTTCCACTGAAATAGTTTTGACTACTCTCACAAATACCTGTTCTAATGTAAGCACAGAATGTGAGCAACTACTAAGTCGAGCACATGGTAGGAACAACTGCAAATGCTTTCTGAACCATATAAAAGCTTTTTTGAGTTGTAGATTTTGACCTAATCAGTTTGCCATTTTACCTTGAAACAAAATACATATGTGTCATTGTCTTCCACCTATTCTAGAGTGCATATTATAGAATCATTTTCAGATTTTAGTGACTTTCAGATTGTATTCTCTTTCTCTGCATGTTATGTGTTAAGGTGAATTAGTTTACGTGGCTACTTTGCTTGTATGCAACTAAAAAGTTTTGGCACTAGATGGCAGTCACAGTCTTGTGGCTTTCAATACAATTTTAGCAGGTTCTTTTGGCTTAATTTTTCAGTGCCATCTTCCCAGCACCTGCTAAGTATGGTTCCAAAATAACTGTATAAGAATGTCTTACTGTTATATGATTTAGTGAACTCTTGGAATTTTTTTCCTATTTTTTTCAAATAGCCTGAGGAGGCTCCTTCACTTGCTGTTTCTACTGAGCCATCTGTAATTGTATCAGAGAGCGATTCCGACAAGATCGCTTCCCAAGTGCCACAGATGCTGCAAGAGACAGATGTTTCTAGTCCCAATATTAAGCAAAACAGTGTGCCTCCTCCACAGAGTAAGTATTTTGGTACAATTTTATCTGAATTCAGCGCGGTGGTTTTTTTTTCCATTGAGCATGTACAGTCAGAATGCTTTGTCATGTGGTTTGAATGCAGAGTAGCACATCAGATGCTTCTGTATTTCATTGAGGGATCTTATTTAAATGAAAGCTAAATGATAGTATTTTGGCAACTGTCCTTTCACTGTGAGGAAAAACAAGCTTCATGTGCTTGAATGACTGAAAACATTTGTCCTTGTCAAGACCTTAACAGACATCTGAATGTACTCTTCCCCATCAGGATGGGAGTTCCATGCCGTAACTATGTACTTAATATATCAATTAACTTTTTTTTGTTCTGGTTCTAAAATAAAAAGGCTTTGGTGACTAATTCCCACCTTGGAAAATGGGAGAATCTCATATTAAACATATAAAATATTTTACCTGACTTACTGCCTTTGGCAGCCAGCACGTTTTAAGGCCAATCCTATTTTTTCAAATAATATAGCGATTCTTTATTCAATTCTGGATGCCATGTAACTACATCTTTATGTAGTTCATTATTTTAAAAATTAATCTTTTTATGTGTAAGTGTAACTCAGTGGTTAAAAATGGTGTAATCTGATACAAGTGAACAAATAATGTAACCTATGTACAAGTATATTATTTTCAGTTATCTGCAATAAGGTCATTATCAGCTGTTGGCTGTTATATTAACAAAAATGAATGACTTTATTTATGGTGTAAGAAAAATAGGTTGAAATTATCAAACTTTGTTTTAGAGGCACTTCAGATTAGTCTATTCGTTACAAACAGGTAAACAGGAGGTCTACAAAAATTGTGCTGGCTGAAGAACAGCTTCATGGTGTTATGGAATGTACTCTTTAGGATTTTAAAAGTCAGTTCTGTGTAAACTTCCTCAGTTGTAACTCTGTAGTTATGCTTTGTTTTTAGCAAAGTCTGAAGAAAGCTGGGAATCCCCCAAACAAGTTAAAAAGAAGAAAAAAGCAAGAAGGGAAACGTGAACTTCCTGAGATGGACATGTGTTGCTGAATACTGTCATGAAGATTATGCTGTTTATGCAATAATTTGTGAACATGTACAGAATTTTATATAAGTTTCAAACAATTTTTAAAAACAGAACTGCTGTGAACACAAACATCTTTAAAAAAGGAATCAAAGGAAAGTAACTTTATGATATAGAAAACAGAACATGCTACATTTGAAAGACATTCTGAAGAGTCTGTTTTTCCAACTTTTGGAGAGAGATCTTAAAATAAAAAAACAAAACTGGTTTTACAACACAGTGCCCTGTTTACAACAGATTATACTCTCATCTACAGCTGCGGATAAAAGGTTGATTTCAAGGAAGGGTTTTCTGTAAAATATTTGTCTGTATAATAATGGGTGTTTCTTGCCTCTCTTTTAAGTGATGCAGTAGAAGCACAGAATGTCAACCATTTGAATTTGTTTCATGCCTAAATCAAAGTGCTTTGATAAAACACGTAATCTGCCATATCTTTACAGTACGTTGGTTAGCAAGTCTGCTAGCTATTACAGGAATCAAGTGCAAATCATTAACCATTTGTACAGTCAGACCTTCATGGTTTATTATATGAAGTTAACACAATAAAACTGCTTTGGGTTAAAAGTTTGAGAATGTGATTTGAAACTTAAGTATGGTTCATGAAGTTATTTTTGATAATGTCTATTACCTTACTTGAATTGCTGAAGATAACAATATATTTTTAAGAATGCAGTAATGTGCATAAAATTGGTTTTTCTGCTTCATTCCCTACAGTTCTTGGTTGATTCAGACTCCCATCTAAAATTGCACCCCTTTAACTTTTAAGCTCATACAGTGAATTGAAATCAAATGTTCCCTTCCCTTAACGCTCTCTAATTTGCCATACCCAATTCTGTTTTGTTCTCTGTCACTAAAACTCCGAAGAAAACAAGGTGAACTTTTTTCACCCAACAAAATATATGGGATTTCAGTGATCTGTTGGAGAACTGGAGTGGCTTCAGACAGCTTTAATTGACATTGTCAAGACCAGTTATCAGGAACACATTTTTTTTACTGCCTTAACCTGTAGTATGTAGAATGTGTCTAGACTTCTGGACAGGAGTTAGTGTTTTTATAAAAAATAAAATAAACATTCATGCAAGTATAGCAGTTGTAAAAAAAAAAAAATAAAAATAAAAATAAAATAAAAAATTAAAGAACATTTCCCGCTTGAAACTGTTAATTAAAATGGTGTTTAAGATGTGTTGTCATTTTCAGGCACTGTGTAATTATGTGGTATCAAACTGACAGATGTGTTTGTCTGTAAGGTGCATGCTCAGCCATGTACACTGTAAATAGTCTTTACAAAAAAATTGTTTGATAAGGATGGTAATTAACATCACCTGGTAAAACTGTTAAAGAGCCAACATGTTTTGTAAATGATCTGGTTTTGTGGCACAAACGGAATTGTTAACAGCTGCGGCACATGGTACTGATCAACAATCTTTCACTGTTTTACTGTACGTAAGTGCAGTTCAACAGGATTACAGGGCAAGAACAGTTAACGCAGCAAGCTGGCTTTAATTGTACTGAAGATGCACCTTGCTAATGGACAACTTTCCTAATAAATGGATACTAATTTGCACAGGTATTAATCCCTGTATATCAGGAACATGTGACGCTCTAAAATGATGTCAAAATAAATTGAGCATATTGACAGTACTGATTTATTTACGGGGAGGGAATGATGCCTGGGACCGATGCCTGTCAGGCAGGATTCACGTGAGCTAAATTTAGAACTGAAGTACAGTTTTCAAGGAGTATGTTAAGGCAGACACTCAAATGGGATGTTACAAAACAGAGTTATAAGCATGTAAATAATATTTTAATTTTACTTATCCTTTTCTTGGCAAAAGTAAAAGAATTTTACTTTCAATTCAGGTTTGTAATGTACGTCCAAAATGTGTTTCTAACCTGTATGTTGAGCTATGGGCCTTTCTTGTAGGGGGGAAAAAAAATGAAGCATTTATGCAATGAGGGTGACTGCCCCCAAGAGTTTTCACTGCATAAATTTATTCTTTTCATCTCTTTGGGATAAAATTGGTGGTATTTTGGGGTTATTAAGCTGTAGCTATTGGAAAGTTTGTCATTCTGGAAAAAAGAAACTAGCTACCAACACAGGAACCCTGCTGATTAACTGCTACTCCCAAGCAGGAGCGTATAAATACATAGCCTTCCTTTCAAAATGTTACCCATTTTAGCAGCACCTCTTACTGTTTTCTTAATGTGCAGTTTCAATGTCTTAGAAAGCAAACCTTGCTTTATTTGACATTTCATTAAAGAGGTAGTATGGCGTGTTGTCTATAAATAGAAACGTGGTTATCTATGTATTGTCATGTTTCTATGAGTCAAGCAATGGTTATTTTTAACGATACACTGAATCCAGACTTTGGTACTTGGGTAGAGAAAAATGCTATTTAAAGAAATTTAACAATCTTTTTTTTTTCTTTTATTTGTTGTTGAATGCATGGAATGGTTTCATAAATCCGATATGTTGTTTTTTTTAAATACTCTGGAATTATTTGTATGCGTAATTTAAACTTGTGATGATGTGTAATTGGGTAGTCATGGCATAGCTTTCTTTTGTGGGGAGGGAAAGATGTACAGAATTCATATGTGCGTGTTACGAAGGTAACAACCTGTGCATTGGTTCGGAGGGGGATGAAAACTGTATTTCTGCTGCCCTTTTAGAAGTCTAAAGAAACAAAGTGCAAGAGAAGAGCACTACTTTAATATTTACTAAGAATGTACATATTAAAAACATTTCAAACTTTATAGAAATACTTCTAGTACTGTTGTGTTGTAACCGAACTGTATCTCGCTGGAAACTGCCTTATTAATGGTTATTAGCCGTGGGATTGGCCTGTGAAATGAGGCTCTTATAACTGCAGATGACATCAGAATACATCATTTGAGCAGACTTTCATCTATTATTAACCATAGTGGTTTTGCTTTTACATGTCTCAAGTTGGTCTCCGGCTAGGATTTGAGTTGTTAAGATGCAAGTCTTTGCAGTGACCGTAACGATAACCACTTCTCCTTGTGAATTTCTTTCTAGTGAATGCTGCGAACCAGTGAAGGACAGGTTGAGTTTTCCAGGCAGAAAAGCTTTCAGCATAGTTCTGTAGGAAGGAAGAAAACACAACGCAAAATGGAACTACATTTATAAAGATACCGCTAAAATGTTTTACTGTTAAAATGGATTAGTTTGTGGGTTTGGGGCAGGGGGGTGAGGACCAGAAGAGGTTCCATGGCTGATAAGCCATATGTTGTCTTCCCTGTAGGGTAAGACCCTGTAGGGTAAGAGAGCCGCCACTAGTTGAGGTCTCAGGAACCAAGTAGAAAAATGTGTGTCATCAGATGGGTGGAGGGCACTTGGTGTTTTCTGTACTAGCATCTTGCTAGTAAAGTTTCACAGGTCGTTCTTATTGAAGAAAAACAGCTGAATTCCTAAAAATTGTCTAGTATCTTTATAAGGTCCCTTCCTCTGTTAATGAAACTTGACCTTACGTTTCTTAGATACCAAGTTAGTTGTACCAAACTGAAGATTTCCAGTTCATTGAAGATCAGTTTCTTATTGAAACCATGTCGTCTAATTTTGGTGTGTTCTGTGAAGGAACATTTCGCAGAAAATTGCATCTGAAACTCTTAATATGAAACTAATGGTTTCAGGATTTCATACGGTGCTGTTAATGGAGCAAACTGGCAAACACCTGCAGTTTAAGCAAGTAGATTTTCTATCCTTCATTCAGTGACCTCTGAAAGTTGCTCAGTATTTTTAAGACAGTTTTTTTTCCTTAGGAATATCACCTCTTCTGCACACACAGTTTTCACGTAGCTGGTTGATACTGCCTTTGAGCTAAGTGAGTTACTTCAAATGTCTGATGAAGCATAAGCCAAGGACTTTGTCACTGAGAGCTTTTTTTTTTTTTTGAGGCCACTGACTGAAGCTGCCACCAGACCAGTTCACAAACACCTTTTCCTTCCCAATTTTCCTGTTTCCTTGACCATCTTTATCTATGTAGCTGACCAGTGAAGTCATGCCTCGATCTATACCCACAATTGAAGCTGCACGTGGGAGATCCCTTTTGATGTTTTTATTTATTTGCAATTTGCAGGTTCTAGAGATTAGTTTAGAGCAGACAGCTTAGAGCCCATGTGATGATTTAAAAAAAAAAAATAAAAATAAAAATAAAAAAATAATAATAATAAAAAAAAAACTTGGGAGAAGGAAGCTGACTTATTAAAAAGCAAAAGTCGTGTTATTTGAACTTGACCTAGAGATTGATGGTGAACTGGTGTTCAAAATTGTTCGTTTTAGAGTTAAACTGCATTTTTTAATAACTCAGGAAAATGAGTAGCTACAGAGGGGTGTGCAAATTTTGACCAAGTATTGCATTATTACGGTTACCTAATGAAATGTTGCATTACTGATCATGTGGTTAAAGGGAAGGAAAAAAAAAAGATCTTGAGATTTCTGCCGGATGTCCAGATAATGAGGCTGGGCAGTTGTGTTACTCCAGCAATTAAGCCACAGATAACGGAGCAGAGCAAGGTCTCTAGGTTCTTCTGGAAAGCTGGTAGTAGCAGGCTGTCAGCCAGGGGTCAGCAGCTTGTATGGGCACTCTGTCCCACTGCTTATATGGGAATTTGGGGGGAGAGGAGCCATGCATGTTCTGTGTTTGCTGATGCTGGTGTCTTCAGATTCCTCATCTCAAATTTTCTCTATGCTATGAAAGGGGCAAGGTTATGGATCTCATACCTTGGCTTCATCTAACCTATTTGCATGACTAAGAATGTTTTTAAGTGTTCTTCTGGAGTGGGCTCAGGATGCTCAGCGCTGGTAGAATGGAGCTGGAAAATCAATACCCTGCTATTTTATGTTCATATATTATAGAGGTGGTGTTCAAAGTCATCCAACTCGTGTAGCCTGCTAACATAGCAACTTCTTTATAGTATTCTTAAAACATTTTAGGGTGTCCTGCATTGAATATAAAAATACTTGGTAGTCTGTGACAGAGATACGTGATTGGAGGCTTCAGAGTCTGGCATGTCTGTGACTGAGAGGGGCAGATTTTTGTGTATCTGGTGATTGCCATTTTGGATTTCCCTAGTAACATCACCTGGGTACTAGATAGGGAAAACTGAGGTCAGAAACAGTGCACATCACATCAGAAAATAGCTTTTTGCTTGTTCACTTCTAGGTAAAATATCTGTCATACAGCACGTGATTAAGACACAGAAGCACGACAGTGAGTGCTTCGCTCTATTAATAATTCCCTTGCTAATAACCTTGGCTTTGTGCTAGCATGCTGCTGGTGTCATCCTTCTGTGCTGCCTCAGAGCATCTTACGGGAGCAGGATTTCTTATGTAAGGACTTAACGTAGTGTTAACAGCTTCAGAAACCACTGTGCCTTTTCTCTCACGCAAAATGTTTTGCTTCTGCTTCATGTTGCTGCTGTGTCGAGAACATGATATACTGCAAGGCTTTCAACACCTTAGATTTTATGGTTCCATGTATTTTTTTTGGCCAGCCCACCTCAAAAACAGTGTTTTGCCAGCTAAACTGGGGGGATAATTGCTACCTGCAGATGATGTTCATTATTTATGGTGAATTGGTGGCTCAAAGGGAGCTGTCAGCAGGTCGTTCCCCCAGCATACTGAGGACATCTTGCTTGGCATGGCCAAAAGTCAGCACCCCGTACTGAGAGGGTATTGAGGTGTCACCCATGGTAGTTAAGCAGTCTAAGGGTTCACATAGACTAAAAATCAAAGGAAAAGGGGAAAAAACATGCAGATTTACATTTTCAAAGTACGCTTGGTTTTGAAGACAATCCTGCTGGTGATCAGTTACTTTTATGTTAGAGTGGAAAAGAAATTCAGGTTCTGAGCAAATGCCAGGTATTTTGGTACTAGAGTGTGAAACAAGGAAGCTGCAGGATGTGTAGTAGCAACATTATACAGGTACGTACCTACTGACCTGCCCCAACAAGACTGACTTAATTTCAGAGCACTTCCAGCTTCAGAATTGGTTTAAACGTTGTCCAAATGTTCGTAGGCTTGCAAACTGGGAGTATGCTGACAAACACCCCTAATAAAGCTCAAGCTGAGTGCAGCATTTAAAATCCCAAGTCCGTGCACGTCATCTGGGCTCAGGCTGGAAAACAGCATAAATCATGATTAAGTGAGGTGCTGAAATGGTGTAAAATCAGAGGGGCTACTCTGTAAAGTGTCACTAACCTGCAGAGATGGGGTTTCCACATGCCATGCTGGAGCCACTCCTGTTCCAAAGGTTTGCATGTAGATGCTTGATTCTAAAGATGCAATGGGCTGTAATTGTGTGTTATTGCAATTAAACTTTCCAAAGTCAATGGGGAGATCTTCACAGCATTAGCCCAGTCAGGATTTCCCAAAGTTGCCTCAGACTATAATCAAACATGTTCAGATGTGTACGCCTATAAAATGTTATATAGCGGCAGCACAGTAATAAACTTTGTATTGATAATCTATGAATGTACCTTTACAAAAATATAATGACGAGAATGAGTGTGAGATGTGCTTTTGAAGTGGTGTTTATGCTGCTCTTGGGGATGAGTTACCAAATAATGCAATTTGAGTAGGATTATATTGGTATTTATGAGGTCGTTTGGTATACAAAGTGGAGAATGAAATATCAGGCACATTATTTAAAACATCAATCTTACTTCTGGCATGAGGGATCCTAAGAACTTTGATCATTTGGAGGAGCTTGTTATACAGAGAAGCCAGGAATATCTTTGGTTTCTGTAATTGGAAGAACATTAGCAGCCTTGACCTGTCTCTCTTTAGGAGAGACAACATAAAATATACAGCACTAGAGAGCTTCAGTCTCACACCCCACACACATTGCTGTACTGGTGGCTGTGCTTTATGTTTTACTCTTTTTCCTAGCATATTTTCTGATACAAACAAAAGTTTAATTAGATGTTTAATCCATTTTATAAAACTTTCTGTACCACTAATACTAAAAAAGAAGTGTTTTCCTCGCTTTTGAATTAACAAATCCATATGTGCTGTGTTTCGGGAAGGATATACCATGACCTGTAATATGTATGGTGTATATGAAATGTGTTACACTGCATGTATAGTACTTGCAGCTTGCCTCCACATGGGTTGCGAGAAAAGGTGAGTATTGGCTTAACTGCATCCAAATCACCATCAGGTACTCAGCAAGTCAACCATGAAGGGGGCTTTTCCTGGGGATCCAGAGCAGATTGCTGAAGGGGGCAAACCTCACTTGGCATTTTCACTGTATGAAGCCAACAGCTGCTGTGACACATTCTCCAGGTTTGGCTGGTAAAGGAATCAATCTCTATTGGTGATTCCTTATTAAGCAGTAGATGGGTAAATTGGCAGAGGATGACACTAAAAGAAAGTCAAACGCTCCTCTTAGCAGAGGGGGAAAATATATATACATTAGTGAGACTGGAAGCTTCTGTAAAGCTCCATGGCAAACCTCTTACTGCAACGAACACCAGTGAAAATTGTACGGCGTGTCCTGGAGTTCGCTCAAGAGGTCAGCAAACTTCAGAGAGCAGGAGAAGAGGAATACCTCCACAGATACTTGAAATAATGAGGGAGGTGGTATTTAGTTGGTTTAAAACTGGTGACAATTCAGAGCTCAGGTTTCTGTTGCATGTGGCTTAATATATGGACTAACAACATGCATCTGGGGAAAAATCTAGGCAAGGCTCCAAGAGGTAATGTGGGTAACACAAAAAGACAAAACTGTAAG